CCCCTGGGGCACCGGAGCAGCTTACGAACGGGGCTTTCTCGCCCCGACTTCCGGGGCGAGAAAGCTCCGTTCGTAAGTGCGGATCCGACATAAGTCGGATCCGCGTAAGTCGGGGACTGCCTGTAGTAATTTCATCTGGATTGCGTTTCCTTCCTTTGCTTATAAAAAGACCTAAGAATGGCCATTCTAGCTCAGACCAACCCCTGGGGCACCGGAGCAGCTTACGAACGGGGCTTTCTCGCCCCGACTTCCGGGGCGAGAAAGCTCCGTTCGTAAGTGCGGATCCGACATAAGTCGGATCCGCGTAAGTCGGGGACTGCCTGTAGTAATTTCATCTGGATTGCGTTTCCTTCCTTTGCTTATAAAAAGACCTAAGAATGGCCATTCTAGCTCAGACCAAGTGTCTTGGCTTCTGACATTGGCCAGTTCTGGGTGCCCTCAGGGAATAAACAGAACAAGTAATCATCCAGTGATCCATTCCCCGTCACTTGTTCCCAGTTTCTGGCAAAGGGAATGGCTAGGGACAGCATCTGTTCCCATCCTGTCTAGTGGGACTCTGTCAAAAGCTGTACTAAAATCAAGATATGTTGTATTTACTACTTCTCCTATCTCCTAGGCCTGTAACCCCATCCTAGAAGAAAATTATGTTGATTTGGGATCATTTCTTTTTGATCTTCTATTCCTATTCTCCTCTAGGTGCTTACTATGGATGTTAATGGACTGGAGGAGCCTCCCTCCACCACCACTTCCGGCCCCGCATGAGGCTGCTGGGTCTGGGCGTCAGCAGCCTTGTGCAGGACTAGAGCAGTCCTCTGCCTGGCATGGGCTGCAGACAGAGGCTGCTCCTGGACAAGGTTCCTTCTAAGCTGCCTGGCAGCACAGCCCTGTGGCTGCTTAATCAGCCCTAACCAGGGCTCAGGGCTCTGCACATGGAGTTGCCTTGCCTGACTGTCAATTAAGCAGCTGTGGGGGTCGTGCCTACTGGACAGGGTAGAAGGAGCTTTGCTCCTGGGTAACAGTTAACCGTTAAGGGTGATGCTTTCTAAGTAACCAGTTACCTGTTTACATCTCTATTTCTAACATATTTATAGAACCTCTTATTCATTCATGTAGTGCCTTAGGTTTTCCCATTTTTGTGTCTACATGTTCTGTTGTTAAGGAGCAGTACAATAGAACAGTTTGTCCATGTTTCCCTGATGTCATGGTATGTCTTGGCAAAGGACTATGAAGAGAGATCTGAGAGACAAAGCTGCCACTTGGACCAAATCCTGTGGTTAGGGTTGCCAGATGGTTTAACCAAAAATACCGAACACCCCTCCCTCCCCCCCCAAAAAAAAATCACCGGGGAAAAAATTCTGTTGAGTTTAAAAAAAAAAAAAGGTGAGAGGGAGACCAAAGTTGTTGAGAAGGAAAAAAAAAAAAAGACCCCAAGGGGGGGAGAACCCAGCAATAAGGCCCCTTTAAGAAACGCTTTTAGGGCTTTTTGGCCTTAACAGGCTGCTGGCGGCCATCTGCCATCTTGTCTTCCTGCTCCGGGCCAGACAGCTCCCCTACAGAACCAGGTAAGCACCCAGTATTTTCGCCTCCTGGCCGGGAAAAAAAATCAGAAAATACCGGACGTTTTAAGAGGCGAAAATATCGGACGGTCCAGGTCAATACCGGATACCTGGCAACTTTACATTTGGTTAGGCCCAAGTGTTCACAATATCTGCGGGGGGATGAAGGCACAAGAGTGTCTCATTACCTCTTCATTCTCCTGATCCTTAGGATGCTGTGTGTGCAGCCTGGCCCTAGGCGTAACACTCAGCAGCTTCTGGATAGCTGTAGTTTAACAGCTATTGCCCAGCCTTACAAAGCCATAACTGAGTATTTGTGCAACATGGCCTCCCATGGTCCACATACAGTTTCCTCTCGAAACTTCCGTATGGCAGAGTGGCATAAGAGCCACTAGAGCCCTCTCCCATGACTGGTATGGCCAACTCAGTAGAAAATTCCTCATGTGATGTAAAGTCCAGTAAAACAGCTGTTCTGCACTTGAGTCTCATCCCAGATACTTAAAAATCAACTGACCAGAATTCAAGTTAAATTTTAAATAAAATGTATAAATAAGTTAAAGCTTTACTGAACCGAAGGAGTTTGTCTTCAAAATAGTGGCATGCCTCGATTATCAGTAGGAGTGTTTTGATCCTACTACAATTCATTTCAGACAATTTGTCATTTCACTATCTAGTATTAATAACTAAAGTACTTGTCTGAAGTCAGCATATAAAACAAGTCATTTTAATATAAAATGAAAGGATCATAATGTCCAGATGAATAAAGCCTTTTTGTAGTTTAATTGGCAGTTGCCAAAAGAGCTTGCTCATTCAGATCTGTTAAATAAGTCACGTGCACGAGGTTGCAAGAAACTATGTATCTTCCATCTTTTGATTCTGCAGAGCGGCTTTACATTTGAAATTCTTCCAACCCACTAGTGTTAAATCAGAGGAGTGGTGGAAGGAGGATTGAGAACATTTGTTTTGTGCTTGTATATGCTACTGAGAGAAGCTACTCTTAGAACAGCTCATTAAGTGGTGCAGTCTTGTGTTGCAAGCTGTCAGTACAATCATTCTGATCTTGCAGACATATGTTGTCTCTCCACAAAGAGCATAATTGAGGAATAGATACTTTAGGGGGCTGCATTTTCCAGAGATGTTGGTTGGGGTTTTGTTTGTTTGTTTGTTTATTTTTGGAAAATTGCACATATTCTGTGCTGATGGAGACACTGTTTTTGCTGCAAAAGCATTTCTTTTACATAGATAATAAGTGTAAATGTCTAATATCCCAGAAAAGTCTTCTATCAGATCATTTTATTTCTGTACTAACTTGTTCTTTTTTGTATTTTCTTTCAACAAACTACAAGTATGATGAAGTTGGACTTTTTGTGGATTTTGTCTTTATCCATTTAAATTCAGTGAAAAAGCAAAAGTAATTTACTGCTTTTGTCTAAACAGATGACATGCTCTAGACTACTGCAAATACCTATTTTTAAAATTACAGCATGACTGTGATGATGTGTTCACTGTTGAAAAGATATTTTGGTCAAATTAATGTTATTGGCTGCAGTCCTAGTCCCAGTGAGGTTAATGGGCATTTTGCCATTGACTTCAGTGGCACTGGAATTTCATCTTTTGTGATTATATACTTAATTTTGATCCTGCATAGGTATACAAGACTTAAATATAGCTTTGTAAAATTCTCAGGCAAGCAGTATATCCACTTTATCTCATTTCAGTGATCTTAGAGCAGCTTGTTTGACCTCTAGTGTTGAAGAATGAAATTGCATCTTATTGACAAAACATTTTACATTTCAGAAAAACCAGTGTCCCCCAAATCAGGAACCCTGAAGAGTCCTCCCAAAGGTTTTGATACGTCTGCAATAAGCAAAAGCTATTATAATGTGGTGAGTGATCCCCATTTTGAATTACATATAATAGGAGATTGCTCTCTTTATAATTGATATAAAAGTGCCAAAACTTAGCCCAAACTAGAAAGCCAAGGGTTGTGGTGAATGTCATATTACCAAGGCCTACGATATTTTTACAAAATACACTTGTTTACATATATGTGTATGCTGTAAGGTGTGGTGATAAGTAAATTGAACAAGACTGTGTCAGAGTAAGCAAACCAAAGTTTGTCTGTAATGCATGTTATACCTTTTTGCTCACTTGTTTATTTTCAAAAATCAGCTATTTACAATCTCTTCCATTCCTTTTAAATTAACAAGGTTATACTTTATTTGTCCGCTGTATTAAAACAAAGAGACTAAACTATTATGCAAAGAAGTTTCTTGTCTTCCCTGTCTCCTTTACTGTGCTCTTAATGAACCTACATAACTGAATAATCAGCTGCTGGGACTCTCCTTTTACACAGTTGATGTGAACTTTCAGAGAAAAAAATCAGTAGACAGAGTTGGTTAGGGTTGGCAGATGGTTGAAACAAAAATACCGAACACCCCCTTCCCCCGAAAAAAAACCACAGGGAAAAAATTCTGTTGAAGGAAAAAAAAAAATCAGAAAAAAAAAAAGACTCCAAGAGTTATTAAGCAAAAACTAAAATAAAATAAAATTAAAATAAAACAGCATTAAAACAGCGTGTCCCCTGTAAGAGTGAGTGCAGGGATAGGAATAGGGGAGCAGTTGAGCACTAAGCACTGCTTCCCTTTGGTCGGCTGTCTTGCGGAACCAGGTAAGCATGGGGACTGGGGTTGGTGGGCTGGGGGTGTTGGGAGCCGGGGGGAGGGGAGAGGAAGGGTTAAGGGCGGAGGAGGCGGCCGGGCACTGAGTGTTTGTAGGGTTGCCAGGTGCCTGGCATTTTCGCCTCCTGACCGGGGAAAAAATCAGACAATACCGGACTTTTTAGGTGCCTGGTAGTCTCTGAATTTTTTTACCGGATAGAAGGCGAAAATACTGGACTGTCCTGGTGAATACCGGACACCTGGCAACCCTAGAGTTGGTTAACTTTTCAACATTTTATATACAGGCAGTCCTCGGGTTACATGGATCCGACTTATATCGGATCCCTACTTACAAACGGGGCGAGGCAACCCCTCACTAGCTGCTTCCCCCCAGCAGACCAGGGAGATGCGAAGCTAGCGCCCCCTCCCCCAGCAGACCAGGGAGACGTGGAGCGGCTTTTCACAGCAGACACCTCAGCTTGAGAATAAAGGACTGAGGGAAGTGAAGTGTGGGAGAATAAAACTGACCTCTGGAGAAATGTTTGGCTAGAGTTTCCCCTACAATATGTACCAGTTCCAACTTGCATACAAATTCAACTTAAGAACAAACCTACAGTCCCTATCTTGTACGTAACCCGGGGACTGCCTGATTTACTTAGCATATTACTGACATTTCTTTACTGGATACAATATATAATATTATAAAACTTTTTAAAAATCAATACTATCAATACAGTAGGTTTTATCCCTTATTTATAAAATGTGGGTACTTATGGAAGTTCTTTCATCTTGTTTGAAATTAAAACATTTATCATTTTAACTGCTGCTTTTTGCTGACATCAGAACACCAAGTCTTCCTTTTGCTTAGATGCAGCTGTTCTTTCTTCTGCTTAATTAGTATTTTTTCAGAGGGACTCTTGAAGTAGAGAATATAATTATTTGATGTTCTTATGATTTGTGGAGAAGTGGAGCGGACCAACAGGAATCATTTTGAAGAATGCAGTAATTGTACATAACTCAGTGATTTGAAACAAAAAAGATCCTGACTGTAAAACAGGGGTTCTCAACATTTTTTTTTTTCTTTCCAAGGCCCCCTCAGTATGCTATAAAAACTCCATTGCACAGTGGGATGGGGATGGGCTTCAGCTGTTGGGGGAGGAAGGGTGGTTGGCACAGGTGTAATTTGACTTCTACATTTAGGGGAGCAGGGTCAGGCTACCTAGTAGGGAGTGCCACTTCTGCCCTGACTCACCTCAGTAGGCTTCCCCTCTCCCAGTTTTTCTGGGATGGCGAGGGAAACACACAACCAAAAACTATAATCCTCAGGAGGAAGAGTTAGCTCAAAAAGTTTGAAAACCATTCAGGGTGAAGGCAGGAGGGTAGCTATGGTTGTGTGCAGGCAGGGAGTAGTTCAAGGCACAGGCAGAGGATAACTAGGGGATGTCTGCTGACAAGGCGTAGCTCAGGGTGCGGGGAGTGAGGTAGCTAGGGGCTGTGTGCTTGGAGAGCCCCACTGTGGTTGGTGCTTCCAGAGGCCTCTGCCAGCACCAGAGCTGGTTGCCACCCCAGGAGGCTGGGAACTAAGCAGCCATAACCCTAGGGTACCAGCAGTAGGAGGCGGAGGAGAGAGGCTAGTGCCACACTATCATCCAGAGCAGCAGCCCGAATGCACACTGCCTGACTTTGGTTTCCTGCCTCCAAACTGGCTAGAAGTAGAGCCTCAGGGGGTCATGGAGAGAGGAGTGTGGGTCAGGGATGTTAAAATGCATTTGTTTTGGTAAACATATACTTGCTGAGATTTTTAGCGGGTACATGTTTACATGGTGGGGAAGAGCATACTGCCTCCCGCCTGCCCCTCCTGTGCTGCTAGCTCCCCATGAGCACTGACAGCTCCTGCTCTCCCTCCCTCCTGTGTTGCTGATACAAAGGCACCAGTGTGTGTGTGTGTGTGTGTGGCGGGAGGGGCGGGGGGCTACATGTAACTGTGAACTTTAACTGATGAGTCTAGGCTTATCAGCTAACCGTTTACACCATCATGAACCTAATGGGTATGGGGGAGGGAGGAGCAGGGGGAAGGGACTCGCATGGAGCCACCCCTGAAGCTGCCTTCCTGTGGTTAAAGCACTGCTTTTTGGGGAAGAGCAATGTCCCCAAACTCCACTTATGAGCAGGGTCAGGGCTCCGGGGCTCATGGACCCTCTGAAATCAGATTGTAGACCCCCAAAAGGCTGTACACTCTGGACTGAGAACCACTGTCCTAGAGTGCCTCTCCCAATCATTAATATTATTGGGAATGAAGGGCTCCAGTGGATTATGTATTGCATCCAGTACCTGTTAGGATAAACAAGCAAAACAAATAAAAAGGTTCTGCCATATTCCCTTTGTAATCTAAAGGATCATACTTGTGTACTCTTCATGACAAACAAATTATTGTTTAATAACTTCTTTTAAGTGTGTAAGAGTATGTAATTTTAAACACAAAACTTCAAAAAACTGACACTGTTGCTGTGGGTTTTTAAAATATTACTCACTTTTCCCTCTTCTGTTTTCTTGGGTTTGAAAATGTTAATGTTACAATTTTTTTAGCTGTGAAGTGATTTTCCTAATGATCCATGGAAATGTGAATGATCCTGTTATGGTATGAAATTTGTGCTTCAGCCTTGTGCACAAAGTAATGTGTCTGTCAACAGGGCAGCCTTTATTTTGAATACATTTTTCATTTATTGTCTGAAGATTAATCCTTCTAAAGTTATTCATTGATGTTCAACAGACTCTCCTCCAACTTCCTTACTTTCAAGCTGAATTGAATGGATACAGAGTAATAGTGTTGGCATGGTTGCTTTACAGCCCACCTTCCTGCCCTACCGCAAAAACACATGATTAGGGTATTGGGCAGGACATCAAGGATACATTTTTCACTAAGAGAACCTACATTTTGTGTTAAGTCTAAAATGCATTTTAAATATCCTTTTCTTATGCTCTGAACTCTGACCCAGTGCAGTTTACTTTGGGATCTTCTTTCCACTCGTGCAACTCCTATTAGCATTAGCTTACATTATGCATCATAAAGATTGAGACACTTTTAATTAAAAGTTGCTCTTTTCTCAGTAGAAATATTTTTATTTTTAAAGCTCATAATGGATTTTTATAAATAACACAGTTACGTATATAATTTACTTAGATATATGGATCCATATGTAAACATAGTGTGCATCACGCTTGTCTGAACTATGCACCACTGAATTCAGTGGTGACCAAAGTGCTCTAAACATGTTGTGAATGTTTCAGTTTAGCCTCCCTGTTGCTTTTCTCAGAATTTAAAATGCCATGTCTGTATTTGGATATAAATTTCAGCTTTTAACTCCCCTATACATATTCGGACTTCTTTCTTTTGTAAAGTGCTTTAAGGTGACCAGGTGCTATAGAGAATCTGGATATTATTTTATTGTTTCATTTTACTGCATCATAGATGATAAAGATTTAGATACAACATTAGAAATCCCCAAAACTTCAGAAAGTGATTATCAACCATTGATTTATGGAGATGGTTCACAAAAGCACTGAAGCAGTTAATCAAATGTTAATCTCCTGCAAACAGCTCCTGCAACCAGATTGTTTTGTCATTTGCACACAGGCAGCTACCACTGAAGTCTAGTGAAAGTTGGGTGTGCACAACTGATGAAATAGGTCAGTAGTTATGACCTCTCTCTCAATTGTTCTCATGAAGAGACAATAATATGTTGTGCAAAAAGTTGCCTTATGCTGGCATCAAACCTGGAGATTGTACTGCAAAGAACAGGTTTTTTTAGACAACTCAAGAAATAATGCTTTCTTTTTCTGTAATGTAACAAATATTAATACATTTTGCTTTCACTCTATTGAAAAAAGAATGACTAGTGAGTTCTGGCACATGACTGTACATGTTGCTCGACATAGTCCACTTTTCTTTGTTATATTTTAGAAATAAATCTTGGTTGTTGAATATTAAATTTGTTTGAAAAAAGTAATACAGTAAAACTCTGATGTTCCGGCATCTGATGGTCTGGCACCATC